GGGGGGGGGGGGGGGGGGAAATAAAAGAAAAACAAAAAAAAAAAAAACACTTAGGCCAAAACTAATGAAATAGAAGCCATCACTTTAATGGCTGAGAGCAGGCTAGGGCAGGATCAGTTTGCCCGACGCTATAAAACGGAGGTTTGTGAGGGGGGGAAAAGAACCAAAGAGATTGAAACGAGCCAGGATCGAGGAAGACAGCAACCATGGATGGGTCCTCCATCAAATTTAGACCAAGTGACTTCCGGGCGGGATGCGGACCGTCTCCCACACTTAGTTGAATAAAGGAAAGTTTCCTCGGGGGAGCCACTAACGCACAATATCTCCGTGGGCCTAGCGGTTGCTGCCCGCATTTTCAGGCACGCAAGCGTCAGGCAGCGTTACCAACACTCTGGTTGAAGGATTTGAAGCTTCGGACGTGCTTCCCTTTCAACCCTCGCCCGTAGCGCCCGCAGCGCCCACCACAGGCAAACCAAAACCCGTTCCAACCCTCCATCATTCAGGGTCACTAAACCACGGCATTGCGTGCAGCCGCTCCGGAGTGGATCAATTTGCTGAGGGCGCTCCGTATCTCTCTCTTCCTCTCTCTGGTAGCGCTAGATACATTGTGTCTCGCTGGTAGAGAGAGAGAGAGAGAGAGAGAGAGAGCGTGACTCTTTACACACACGCTGGTCGTTGGTTCCACTCGGACTCCGTCCTGGACGACTAGCCCGTGGCTGTGGGCATGGACATGATGACTCCCGGTCTTGGATACTAACAAGACTTTCCAGGAATCCAGGAAGGATCATGGTCGGAGATTATCATGATACTCATCACATCATGACCTCGCTGCGGGTGATCAGGAATAATTTCTCAGGTGGGGGCATGTTGGGAAGGAAAACCATGATTTCGCGACACCTCTCGCAGAAACGAAAAAGAAGGTTTCACTCTGTACTACCTCAATTATTTTCGGAATTCTCTGAAGTTCCTCAGTATTGCCATACCCACCACATGAAGGTTAGTGGAAGTGTGGGAGGCTGGCTGGGAGGGGGCTACGTTACATCCAACTATTCCTGGACGGGCTGCACCATGGAACTCAATATATCGGGACAACATGCTGGATCAGCGTTGGAGCTGAGGCCTGTGATCCATCCCGAACGGTTGGACAGCGCTATGGTAAGAGAGAGGAGGTGTGGAGGTGGAATTAAAAAATAATAAATAAAAACGAAATTAAAAAAGAGACGACACCATGAACAAAGGTAAAATCGGATCAAATAAAAACATCCAAGGCTCCCTCTCTCTCTGCCTCTCTCTCCCAACGGAGAAAGAAGAAAAAGCAAAAATAATAAAAAAAAAAGAGAGACAGAGAGAAAGAACTGGGCCGGTGGAGGACGGATGGACGGTCAGCGCCGTGAGCCGGGCACACTACGAGCTTAGGTCGACGCATGTAGTATGTACTCCGTATGCAAGTTGTCCCTCCTGTACTCCATACATACATCGTACATGTGTCCTCCAATCCATCCCATGGTCACCCGCCCGCTTGGCGCCCGAATCAGCCTGGCGTTTGACCTAAGGGAAAGTAGTTGCCTTAATGTAGGAATCCCATGTTGATCGTTTCACCGCTTCCCAGACTCTCGGGTCGATGGTGGTGATGCATGCATCATCCTTCTATGCGTTGTACTTGGTGCCTGGTCAAACCGGCTGTTCTCACCTGCTCGGCCTGCATACACCGAAGTCTTGGGAATTTCCCTCCCCTCTTTTTCCCCCATCAATCACACGCACTGACGACTGGTTCTCAGTTCTTCTTAACCCTACTAGTCTTCTAACTTATCTACTTGATGGCTTCGGACCATACAAATCATGTCTTTTATCTTTGTGTTTAACTGTATGTGGTACAGATGTGCACCTAACTAGTAGTACTGAATACATTCAGAAGATAGGCATTCTTGACGCTTGCTTCTGTGCGCTACTAGTACCTTCCTTAATGGCCACCTCACTTCCCCATTGTTCGATGACAAGTCAATCACACCCCCAACTTGAGATCCACGAATCTCTGCAGAGCAGCATTGCTGCAAGCCTCGCATTTATTCTCCTTAAACGACACAACCTTAGAACCAAGGATCGATTTGAGAGAGGGGGGTGGGAAGAGAGAGAGTTGTGGCTTCCCAGCTATCTCCTTCCCTTGGGGAATCATCACGGGGCACGTACTATACTAGCTGGCTTAGTACTTTAGCTCCCCCTCTCTAAATCCAACTAGATGAAAGGCAGCAATTACCGACCAGAAAAATTACCCCATCGAGGTTCTAACTCGATTGCGAAGTTCTGGGTTAATTACACGACCAGCAAGTTGATAGCCCCGATATCTAGATACACACTCACTGCAGAACTATACCTCCCTTTCATTTCTACAGACCTACGGAGCTGGTTTCTAAGCAAGGTCCTCCTGCTTGCTCCGGGCTCAGAATGGAGAGTCGTCGTGGCATCATCCACCTTCGACGCCCGGCCCGGTTTCCAATGTTCCCCATCGGAAATATCAACCCATACGACTGCTGGCCCATGATTTGCCCAACCGTTTGGCCTTCGGAGTCGGCCGTTGGTCGTCAACAATCGACCTTCCTTTCGGGGATGATGCTGGGACCAGTTGCGGTCTGTTTATTATGATAAAAGCCGACTTCTGGTCCCGTGCATGACAAAGACCTCCGTCTTTTGTAGCTATTTTTCCGCGGGTTGGTGACTATATCACACCTACTATTATGTAGGGGCTTTTAACTAACGCAGCCCCCGTCCTATTTCCTGCATCTGTGTTTGCCTTGCGGAAAGTGTCCGTCCATGATGGCATGCTGCTATTTCTACCGTTACGGTTCCCGTCCAATCAGCGAGGCATGGCCTGACCTACAAACGAGCCTCGATTGTGAGGCTCACCGTTGACCCCTCTAAAGCGAAGGGTAGCGGAGTACTTACTTACCTACAGAAAATCACATGGCATATACCGCTGGAGAATTGAGTTTACTAATAGCTACTGCCAGCCACAGCCACAAATTGGCCCGCGTCCGGTCAGGCAAACTGGGAATGAGGTATTATTAACAACGAATCTCCGAGTAGACAATGAGTGATTTTCATTTTGAAAAAAAATTCTTAGGGGGGCACGGTCCTCATTGTGCTCTCTGAGATGGTCTTGCGCTCTAAGTGGAGACCAAATGGCCGTGTCCATAAGTACTTAAATCGGCGTCTTATACAGCAAGGCGGGCGGTGCATGCCGCCTTTATAGCCTAGAACGATGGACTAGCGAACGGTGACAGGCAAAGTGGAGACTATTCATTCTGAAGAAATCACCCCTTTCTAGGGAGGAATTCTGCATGTCTTACTACTCTAGGGAGGTAGATAGACCGTGCCGTGGAGGCTTCCTTATAGGTTACGTATTTATTTTCATTGATAATATTCAAGAAATATAGCTTATTAATCCAATTCATAGCTAACTATACACGATAATCAACCTATAGTGGAGTTAGTCGAGATGCCATTACAACAACGACAAGATACTAGCGGTACGAATTAGAGATGAAATCATAGTATCACTAATGATATGCATCGATTGTCCATGATTCAGCAAATATTCCAGCAATTAGTTGGGCAGCCCATTCTCGATGCTATTTCTATATAGTACTAATTAGCAACTCTATGGGTGTGCTGGCGGACGTGTTGCTTGCCAGAATGAAGTCATTGTTGTACACAAATTGTAGAGCTGGTCTGCATATTTATATCCCCATACCACACTATACCAAACACCACTCCCATGCTCATCCATAGTACTACCATGATATAAACAACGCCATCGCTATAGCTTTCAAACCCTGTTAGTCTACTAATCACATGCTACTAGCTTCATAGCATCCAATATTATAACCCCCATAATATTACTTGTATTACTAGTCAGAGAGAGGAAGGAGACCGCGCGACCAGCATACCTAGTCCAACATACTACCTTGACAAATACTATAATCCCCCAAAGTAGGAGATATATATTATATCCGCGCATAAAACACACTAAACCCACAAAAATCAAACCTAAACCCAATAGATCAAAGATTAGTCCCAAGATTAGAAAAAAACAAAAACAAAGACAAAAATAGTCGCGCCCGGGATCGAACCGGGAACCTTCTCGGAACCTCATCAAACAAGCTGACGATGTGAACGAGAAATCATAACCATTAGACCACGCGACTGGTGATTTAAAGTTTGCAAATTTTCGGTCCTTATTCCACAAAGCCAAACCGGTTAGTTATCTTATCGCGGAGTTGCAGCAGGACTGGATTAGATAGTAGTTAGATTTTTTTCCAATCTCCCCTTCTTACCTACATTACTCCGTATCTGATCTTTCTATCCCTTCGCGCTCTTTGGGTCGCTTTGTTCCTTTGTTTGGGTGTGTGTGTGTTTGGGGGTATTCTACATAGCGGTTCTTCTTTTCCCTTTCTTCCATACAAGTTACATACATACGTGTGCCGTCTGCGTTTCACCGTTCGATCGGTCGGTCGATATGAACTGAGTGTTTCTGTCGCATTCAACGGATTACCAACCTACCAACCTACCGACTTTACTGCCTCCGAACCACTCGCTCACCCACCACCTACTTCCACATATCCAGAACCGAATAAGCAAGGATAAGAAAATGGACGCCCAAGCCTACCTTCTCCGCCACGGCTGGTCCGGCCCCGGCAACCCCCTCAACCCGAACCGCCGCCCCGGCACACACGGCGGTCTGGGCCTGACGAGGCCGATTCTCGTTGCGCGACGCCAAGGCAACCAAGGCGTGGGGAAGAAGACCACCAAGGATCCCACGAATCAATGGTGGTTGCGGGGTTTCGAGGACGCGCTGAAGGGCGTGGGCGATGAGAACAAGAGTGCGGGGGATGCGAAGCGCACGCCGAATGCGTTGACGAGTGAGCTGTATCGGTATTTTGTGAGGGGGGAGACGGTTCCTGGGACGCTGGGGAATAAAGACAAGAAGGAGGACGGGGAAAGTAGGAAGAGGAAGGCTGGGGAGGATGATGAGGATGCTGATGGGAAGAAGAAGCGGAAGAAGGGGGAGGAGACTAAGGAGGAGAGACGGGTGAGGAGGGAGGAGAAGAGGAAGAGGAAGGAGGAGAGGGCGAAGAGAAGAGAGGAGAGGAAGAAGAGGAGGGAGGCGAAGGAGGCTAGGAGGGCGGAGAGGAGGGAGAAGAAGGAGAAGAAGAGGTTGGTGAAGGAGGAGAAGAAGAAGAGGAAGGCTGGTCCAGAGAATGAGTATCCCACGCCGCCGGAGACGGAGGTGGAACAGACGGAGTCAAGCGGAAGGGATGAGTCGGTGGAAAAAGTGAAGAAGGTGAAGAAGGACAAGAAGGAGAAGAAAACGAAGCGAGAGATTTCTACGTCTGATGACGAGTCAAAGAAAAAGAAGTCGAAAAAGTCCAAGGATGAGACGGTGTCCTCGAAGTGAACGTGAACGAACGGGATAAGAGATGCTCTCTGGCAGTATATAGATAGATTCGACTTAAAGATACCCATGGCTGTGCTACTTGGTTGTATATTCTCACGAACAATATTTGCAACATTCATTATTCTTTGTTTATCATCATATTATCATGATGCTACTTGCTTAGCCTCTGTAGGCAGCTTTCCGGGCTTGCCAGAGAGAATCCAAGGCCGTCTCTCCCAGAACTCATCCTTGATGATGTCGACATGATCGACCACGACCTGCACTTTGCGACGCAGTTTGCGGATCTTTTCCTGCTGTGTCTTGGAGGGTGTGTCCTCCTGCAATGGTGATGTTTCTTCCTGCACGCTGGAGTCCGGTTTGGCTTTCACATCCTCTAGTTGATACTGTATCTTGGTCAGTAGCCACACATACGAGGCAGCGGAGACACACATACCTGGCGATAGATGACGCTGCCCTTCTTATAGATCTCTTCTTCATTATTATAGTTGATACCGAACCTCTTGAAGAGGATCTCATTCTTGTCAGAAGACAGGGTGCCCTAGTTCACACTGTTAGCAGCAGCAGCATCTCTCAAAACCAGAAACTCACCTTCAATTCCAGTTCAGCTTCTCTTCTATCCATCCCACCTTGCAGGACCATGGTCCAAAATGTCGTATTGTAAAGATTGTTAATATGACCTGCAGCATATTAGCACACAACAACCCGAAGGAACATTTATGCTGCGAATGGAATAAAACTCACAATCCACCTGCCGCCAGCTCATATAATCCCTAAATATCCTAGAGTTCGGATACATCACTGCTCTTCCATCAAACGAAGGCAGAGCCGCTGGCTGGAGCGGCGTATCTGGGAAATACGTTCCCCACAGATAGATATAATGTGCCGTGAATGTTGACACAATAGTCGTTACTAACTTGCTGCATCCCCAAGGCAAGTAAGTTCATACTGCTAGTGGACATGAAATATTGCGCGAAAAAAAAAGAGATGACTTACGCACTCCGCCGCTCGAACAATTGGCAGTTGGGATGAAAAGCAAAACTAATGTCAAGTCAATATCGCCACATTTGACCAGGAGCATGCCGCATCACGTACCTGTACTCATCGCTAATACCGTAGGCGATGCAAAGATCAGGTAGGTCTTTCATGACGCCGACTGCTGCAGCATTCATTAGGTCTAGGGCCCGGCGGTCGTTGGGCTTTATGAAGCCGTAGTGATCAGAGAGTCTACATTCTTTCAGTTAGCAACATGTAGACAGCCAGCTGATGAAATTAGATGTTATCTCAGCTGCTAATAGCAGTTGATCAGGAGCGCAGCGTCATGTTGGAGCTTTGAAAGAGAGGTGGCACTGACTTGTGGAAGCCTCTGCCATCGATCCGGACCACAATCCATGTATTGGGGAGTAGAGCGTCCGGTTGCTCGAATGATTTGACGTATTCATATCTGTGGAGGTTAGCAGCGGCTCTCAAAGAATATTAAAGAGGTAGGGAAGATACTTGGAATTTGCCATCTTGCTTTAGACTGCAGTATTCAAACTGCCGATGATTGTTGTGCAGGAAAAGCCGTCGGGCTGGCGAGGGAGGATGAATCATGAAGATTTGGGTGGGGATGAGGGACGAACCGAACCGTCCCTCCACTGCCAGCGTTGCGCTGCTCTGCACCACCTGCTCTCAGCATTCCTGGTTTGGTGCAAACTTCTCCGATGTGATATACTTTCAACTAGAGCTTTCGCCTATTCAATTACTACAGCCAATGGCAGATATACGGAAGAGAGAATCATATCAAGAGGATAAGAAAGGCATGCTATGTGCCACACAATGACTTCTACCGTCACTAGTTAAGAGATTGAAAGAATGCCTAACGCCACAGGGCGACCTAAAGAAATGAGAAATAAAGAATGAATGCTGTATGTTCATGCTTGGACCTCCTCCGCTGCCTCTTCATCCTCAGCCTCGCTAACATGCTCACTGGGGCGCTCGCTCGTCTCACTGGCGGCCTTGTCGGACTTCCTGGACATGCGACTGAAGAATCCCAGGCTGCTTCGAGTTGACCGGTCAGCCGAAGGAGCGCTGGACACAGTACTGTCCACACTCTTGGCAAGCATCGCCTCGCTGTGTGCGTCTTCGTCAATGTCGCCTTGCGAAGGGTCACCCTTCTTGGAGAAGAGCCCTGATCGGTCCTTCCAGGAACTGAACTTGCTGGAACTGCCCTTTCGGGTGATTTTGCGAATGAATGACTCTTTCGAGCTTCCATTATCCAGCGAGCCTGCGGAGGGCATACGTTCCAAGGATTCGTATGAGTCGCCTGTGTACATAGAAAGAGAGCGAGAATCCCGCGAGGTACGCGATTCAGACGGAGAGCCTTCCTCCATGTGAAAGTCAAATGGAGCATCTAGCTCTCGGTCCCTCGCTGCCTCTTTCTCTTTGCTCTTATCCGATCGCTTCCCAAAGATGGTCCTGAAGGAAGGCGCTGCAGGATTCAACTTCGGGGTGACTGGTCGGTGAGAAGATGATGGTCGCGTTCCAATAGGCGCCTGCAATGGCCGACCTTGTCTCTCGAACGAATCCTGAAGAAAGTCTGGTTCTCCGGTAAGGCCTAAAGGTAAGTGACCCGATGAGCCGTACTGTGTAGATGGCCGGCGCGACTGCACCCGGGACCAAGTCGACGGGGAGGTCCAGTCAAAACCCAAAGGACTCCGATGGCCTTGCTTTTCTGCTGATGGCCAACCAAAGTGACGATTATCGGTGGAGGGATGAGGAAGCTGGTTTTCGAAAGAGAAGGTCGATGAGGGCCGCGGCGACAACGACTCCCGGCGTACTGTGCCCAAGATGGAGGAAGGATCAATTGGATCATGACGAGGACTGAACTGATTGTATCCTGTGCTTTGATCGGAATTCTCACTGGACTTGAGCAGACCGTGTCCGCCGCCAAATCCAAATCGGCTGGATGAGAAAATGCTGGAAATGCCCGCACGACGCGAGGGAAGATGGTCGGAGGAGCTGTCTGTTGTAACACCTGCTGTGTTGCTCCTGGGGAACAGAGACATCGGGTTCGCCCAGTTGCCTGTATAGCTCAGCCGACGCCGTCTAGCCCCTATGGGATCCATCTCCTCCAGATTACGGGGGAACGACTGACTTTGTCCTGGCTTCAAACTGCCCAGTAGAGGTGGCTCATCTGCCAGTGTCTTGCCGCGAGGTCGGTGGAAGCCAAAGAGCCCCGAAAGCCTGCGCGACGCACTCTTCGGTGCCTCGCCTACATCCAAGTTCACTGGTTGCGATTCAACATCTTTAGGCAGGGTCTGGTCCTCCGGACTCGCAAAGAGGCTTTCCGGCCTGCTTCCGGTAGAGTCTGGTGAAGGTGGCCCATGGGGAAACTCTAGCGCAGTGCTTGGCTGCTCGAGGTTGGAAAAGCGAGAACGGATGGCCGGACGAGGGAGTTCGGGAGACTCCTCATCCCCGAGAAGATCGGACGGGAGAAGTGCGTCGGCACGAGGGCTCATCTGAGGGTTTCCAAGCGACATATCCGAGTATCCTCGCGTACTATCAGACTGGCCCGAAAGGCTCGGGAGGGTCATTCCATTGTTGATGTTGAAGAAGGCAGAAGTCGGGCCAAAGGTGGGAGACCCAGTGGCAGGAGGGTTGTAGCTAATGCCGCCGGGAAATGATGGCTCTAAGGCCGTGAAATTCATCGGAGATGAGACATTACTGGCGAGTGAGCTGCGGTGTCGACGTGGGCGGATAGTCGCAGTGTTGGAGAGATCAAGATCGAGAGCTGGGAGAGAAAAGGGACCTGTGCTGCCGGTACGTTGGGTGGTTAGCCACTTCAGGCGCTCCTGCGCTTCCTGGTACTGCTGCTGAGCCTGTAGAATGAATTAGAGACTATCCCGGAAAGCAGGCCATTGCAAGAATACTAACCTGGGTGTGAAGGTTGACGAGGGTAGCATAGCGAGCGTGAAGATTGCTCAATTTGATCTCCCACTGCCGGGCTCGCTCATTGTCAATGCGATCCAACTCCTTTCCATCCTCGCTATCTGCTTCCTGGTGGTTTTGCCTCTCCTCCTCGAGCTTCTTGACACGCCCGCCCTTGTCTTGGATTTCGTCATCGATGACCTTCATCTCTGCCTGTTCCTTGGCAATCTTCTCCCGAATCTCATCTCCACGCTGCTTCCCCTCTTCTTCCAGCCGTGTCTTTTCCTCTCTCGATTCCGCTGCTTCACGGTTCATGTTTTCAACCCGCTCCTGCCACCGGACGATGTCGGACTTGCGCTTCTTACGTTCAGACTCCTTCTGTTGCAGGAGTCTTTCACGCTTCGCCTTCTCACTCTGCACTGTACGATTCACACTTTCCAGCTTGTAAACGTGCTTCTTCAGGTCGCCACTCGCTTCATCCTTTTCCTTGACCCGCTTTTTCAAGTCGTCACGCTGTTTCTCGAGTTCCTTCAGAAGAGCAATGTGCTCCTCTTCTTCATCGGTGGTTTGCTTCTCGACGGTCTCGTTCTCGTGCTGCAGGGATTTCAATCGGTCGGCGAGTTGTTCAAGGGTCTCGTCGTGATCATCATTCGTGGCGCTCTTCTGTGTCTCCTCCGCCTGGCCATGCGAGACCTCCGTCCCGCTCGCTGCAGGAGACGGCTTCCGGCCGGCTGAAGATCGCTTTGCTTGGAGCTGTCCGCCGCTGTGCTCCCGAGACATCACGGGGGCCGAGGGAGCAGCAAGACCAGCGGTAGACCGGGGGATGGACGCCCGAATGGTAGGGTTGCCGACCTTAGCATTCTGTTGGGTTTGCGACAAGGGCAGAGACTTTGTGCGCACATGGATGATTGCACTTGGGGTTTGGAAGTTTGCGGCACTAACTGAAAGAACGCAAATATGATATATACTTCCGGGAACCAAGTTCAGGATTTCGACTGCAGTTTCCGCTCGTTTCGATTCGCCCACTGACAACTCATTAGTATCAACAGAAAGAGATTCGAGGGAGCCATTGCCGAGGGTACCCTTGATGCCGTTCAGTTGGATGATGTGCTTGTGGATGGAATTGTGAAATTCGGGTTGTTTCCAAGCGATGCGAATTTCACGGGCGGTGATCTCTTCGAGGGTGACTTCTGGTGGCGGAGGAATATCCAGACCGAGCTTTTCAACTAGGACGTCGTTCGGGGTCTGGCAAACCTGCCACGCACGGTACAGCAGCCTTTTGAGAAAAGTTTAATTTAGCTGTGCGCTCTCTACACACTAACTGAGATCTTGCGACCTACCAGATTAGAGCCCAGAGAATGGTGACTGCCAGGAAGAGAGCCATGACGCCTCGCACCCTCACTCGGGGAACTACGCTGGGGTAGGCGTCGAAGGAGAGAAACAACGGCTCATACATCCCAGCGTCCGAAACCCATGGAGAGGGAGAAAGGAGGGAGGGGACTGGCAACCTCGTCGAGGGCAGTGAAGGGTCAGCAAAGCAGACGATTCACTAGATAGTTTAATCCGTGGGAGTCGAGGAGGAATTAATGCGATGCTCCGCGGAGGCTGCCGAGCGAGAGAGTGGGACAGAGTCACCTGACTGGGACACCTCCGCTGACTCATCCCTGAGTCAACTGGTGCAGATCATGGGATGCTCCGGACTAAACTACATTGGGAGATTTTTCAAAAAATAGCCTGCGCCAGCCGGAAGCGGCCTAGTGCCCGCTCCAAGCCGAGGAAGGCAGGGAAGAGGCAGCCTGGAGCACATGACGGACCGCCCGGCCGGGGAGAGACAGACGAGCGGTTGGGCTGTTGAGCCTTCTCGCAGGTCCCAACAATAATAGAATCGCCATTTGCTGCTCTTCTCCCATTTCGCTGTCCTATCTGTCTCACTTTGTTGTCTGTACGCCCTGCTGGTGCTGCAGGTTCCACTCGCTTGTTTTCGATCGTGGTCAAATGCTTGCATGCCAGCTCATTCGCTTTGCAAGTGACCGTCTCTCGTTAGTGATTCCACTCCGGCGCATGTCTATCGGGCATTGTCACATGGGCCGTATGTAGGCGGCAATTCCTGCACCTCCGCCGTCTGACCTCCGACCCCCCTCTCTATCTGCTGTGTTCTTTGTTTTGTGCTTCGCCTTTGTCGCTTGGGAATTGTTACAATATTCTCCAGGGACTTTCCCTGTTACTCTCGCAGGATGCAGTACGTCCGAAGTATCAGCGGTTCCGTCTCCAAGACGTGGAACTCCATCAATCCAGCCACCTTGAGCGGGGCAATCGATGTGATTGTGATTGAACAAGAGGATGGTTCGTGGTCTGCTTCTTTCAATTTATCGTCAAAAGAAGGACTAATATCCGGTATAGGAACTCTGGCTTGTTCACCTTTCCACGTTCGATTCGGCAAATTCTCCTTGCTCCGCCCGTACGAGAAGAAGGTACCGTCTCCCGCATCGATCCTGACAGCGACCCCACATAACTAAAGGCGCTTTAAGGTGGAATTTTCCGTAAATGGTGTAAAGCAAGACTATGCGATGAAGCTGGGTGAAGGTGGGGAGGCTTTCTTTGTCTTTGAGACAACAGACGAGATCCCCGCCTCGCTGCAGACTTCGCCCCTGGTTTCTCCAAGCAGCAGTCCCAAGATGCGCAGTGAGGAGAATCTTCCTCCATCGCTCCAGGAACCCGATTACCTGGACCTCGATCGATCATCTAATGGCAATTTGGATGGGAAATCTTCAACAGCCCTTCCTGTGCTGTCGCGGAGTATGCGGGCATCGAGCGATTTAGGTGGGTTCTAATGCAGACCTACACTTATCGAGTTATTGACATTCATCTGCGACAGGTACCCTTACTCCTCTTTCACGGTCGCCGGATGACTCCAGCTTGGGCAGGTCCCGACATGGCTCGTTCGGCGATGCACCCAGCAAAATTGACCGGACGGCTACGGATACAGTGTTGTTGACCAAGAGCCGCTCCAACAGTGTTAGCGTAGCGGACCAAGTATACGGAATGCAGTCCTCTGGCGCCAGCGCCGCGAGCGATGATATGGGCCAGGATGGTCGTTCGAGAAGCCCTCCGCCATTAACTCCCGAAGAGGCGATGTCTCGCGCCGTCTCGCTTTCGAAGAAACTCTCCGGATCGAATATTCCGTCTCACGTTACCGAAACGGGAGACCTCATGCTCGACATGACTGGTTACAAGAGCAGCGAAGAGGATGCTCTGCGAGCGGAAGTTCTTGCACGGAAGATCCTTGCCGAGGAGTTGGAGGGCCCCTATGACATCGGGGCTCTCATCGGGGCCGACGAACATGGGAACCTGTGGATCTACAGTAGCGAGGAAGCAAAGGAGGCTGCCAATCGCCGAGCTACGTTCAATGCGATGCGACCGGGCTCCGCCATGAGCGAGCATGCCATCTCCGACCCGGGGTACCACAGCGACAGTGACAAGTCTTTGCAGGACAAGCCGCTACCCAGCCGGCACTACCGCACCCAGTCTGATGTCCAACCCGGCTTCCCTACCCCACCGCAGTCACCGACGCCAGAAGCCCAAGAGCCAACTCGAAACTATGCAAAGACCCTCCGTCTCACGAGTAATCAGCTGAAGGCCCTGAACTTGAAGCCTGGTGCGAACAGCATGTCGTTCAGCGTCAACCGGGCTACTTGCACGGCGACGATGTATCTATGGAATGGAAATATTCCTATTGTAATCTCCGATATTGACGGAACCATCACCAAGTAAGTGTTCTTGATCTGGGACGTCGGAAGTCGCTAATGGATTGTAGGTCTGATGCTCTTGGCCATGTGTTAAACATGATTGGGCGTGACTGGACTCATGCTGGAGTAGCCAAATTGTATACTGACATTGTCAACAACGGGTATAACATCATGTACCTTACAAGTCGATCCGTTGGCCAGGCAGATACGACGCGGGCTTACTTGTACGGAGTTAATCAGGACGGCTGGCGACTGCCCAAGGGGCCGGTCATCATGAGTCCTGATCGAACCATGGCAGCACTCCGACGAGAAATCTACCTGAGGAAGCCTGAGGTGTTCAAGATGGCATGTCTACGGGATATCTTGAATTTGTTCAATGGGAAAGAGAATCCCTTCTACGCCGGGTTCGGCAACCGTCTCACCGATGCGCTGAGTTACCGGTCGGTGAACATCCCGTCCACCAGGATCTTCACGATCAATTCGAATGCCGAGGTCGTCCTGGACCTTCTTAGTCTAAACAAGTACAAGAGCAGTTACGTTTCGATGACGGAGCTGCTGGACCATTTCTTCCCGCCGGTGAGTCTGCTGGTCCAGGCTGGTGGCGAAGAATACACCGACTTCACCTATTGGAGAGAGCCTCCTCCGGATCTGGAGGACTTTTCCTGCACAGACAGCGAAGCAGAAGAAGGTGACCAAGAGGAGGACGAAGATGAGGAGGAGGAAGACGAGGAGTACGACGGGGAGCTGAGTGACGAGGAAGCAAGTGATGTCGATGAGGATGAGGCTGGAGAAGAGCTCGGGGCGAGCTATATCTCGCAGGACTCGGTCGATGGATCTGAACTGATGGACAGTCTCAATCTCCATGCTGCCGATGAAGACATCGAGGACGAAGATGAGGTCGCCTCGGAAGAGGAGTTGGACCCTCCTCGTCCAAGCCAATCCAACCCTGGCTCTCCCAAACGTTGAGGGCAGCAAAGATGCATCAACTGCATTACGGCGGCCAACTCACAGGCCAGGGACTTGACATTTATTGCATGGATGAGGTGTTTGTGTTATAGATTTGCATGATGGGCGTTTGCACCGGTCGCATAGCCATATTGTTACTTTTGTTGGGTGGCACATAATGTATGATAGTTGAGACGCTGAGTTGCACAGTATAGAATTGTTGCATCACTACAATTATCCTTTTTCTTTCTTAATTTTTGGTTGCTGCTTCTGCTGCAACATCGCGTACCTTGAAGGTCCCAAATGCTGGGAATCAATCGCCTGCCGAAGGCGGTCTAGCGCGGACTTGCCTGGCCGACCGACTCTCGCTTTGCCTTCATCGGCATTTCATCTCCAGCTTCATCAACCCCAGCATCCATCTACACTCGTGCATCGACTGATCTACACCTGCGTCGGATACTTCGAAACCCATCCTGATCAGCAGGCGATGCCAGCGCCCACCAATTGACCAGCCTCCCAAGCGCGTCGCTACACCTACTATCCCGTCAACGACTACTACCTCATTCCATCACCACCTCAATACTATTCAGAATGGCCTCACCAAACCACGCGCAACCTCCCACCACCCAACCCATCACACCTCCCGCCGAACCCTCAAGCACTCAACCCACCGCATCCCAAAACACCACCGCTACTACCGCCCCCGCCGCACCACCAACCACAACCACAACCAACAACCCCAGCACCACCACCACCACCGCACCCGCCGCCAGCACCCAACCGACCCAGATCCCCTCCACCTCCCTCAAAGACAGCGGCAAATCGCGGCGTCCGCGCGATGTCCGCCTCATCCACATGCTCCTCTCCTCGTTGGGGGTAACAGCGTACCAAGAGCGCGTCCCACTCCAACTCCTCGACTTCGCCTACCGCTACACGTCCTCAGTGCTGCAGGACGCAGTGCATCTCGCGACAGAAGGCTACGCCGGTGGTCCTGAGTCTTCGACCGGTGGGGGATCCCGCGCCGGCGCGTCCGAAATCAATACTGTGTCGTTACCGGCGCTGCGGCTGGCTATTGCGTCCCGACTGCACTATCAGTTCCAGGCGGGCTTGCCGAAGGAGTTCCTGATGGATGTGGCGGCGGAGAGGAATCGCGTGGCGCTGCCCGGGGCGAGTCGCGGCTTTGATAGTCAGGGGATGGCGAAGACGGCGGCCGCGAATCAGAGTATTGTTATGGGTGGGATGAGGTTGCCGCCGGAGAGGTTCTGTTTGACGGGTACTGGGTGGAATATGAGGGAGGAGTGGGAGAGTGAGGGTGAGGAGGAGGTTGAAGGGGATGATACTGCTGGTGGTGCTGGGAGGGAGAATGGAATGGGTGGTGGTGCTGGTGGTGGGACGAAGGCCGAAGAGGGTGAGGAGGGCGCAGATGAGGAGGAGGATGGGAAGATGGAGGATGTGTTTGGGGAGGATACGGCGATGGGGGAGGGTGATGGGGATGGAGGGGATGGGGATGGGGATAAGGATATGACGGATGTCTAGACACCAGTGGAGAGTTGGAAGAGGAAGAGTGTATCTGCATAGAGGCGTTAGGGCGCAGGGTAACTAGTCACTACTACGACTACCTACTTAGTACA